CCAGAGGCGGAAAGGGGGAGAGTTCACTACTATCAAAAAAGAAGAGCCAGGTATAGAGTGTGTCCTTTAGATCCAAGATCCCTGTGCTGAACCTCCTCCACTGAGAGAGAGGTATAACACTTAGCTGAAATGGCAATATGTTGAGAAGCAATGAAAGACAAATGGTGGCAGCAGAACCAGGATACTGGCAGGAGACCCAGCAGGAGACAGTGAAGAGGGCTTCAGACCCATGGAGTGAAAAAGCTGAGCACCTTCAGGCAGGAGCCTTGCTGGTAGAGTTGCGTGCCTCGAGACACTGATGAGCAGAGTTAAAGGGGCTCTGTAACACTTGAATGAATTGGGCAGAGGTTGCAGGACTGCAGGGTGAGAGGCCAAGAGCCAGAGAGAGGTGTGCCTTTGGTCACTGCTGAGAAGAGGCTGTCCTGATTGAAGAACTGTATTTTGAGGCATTTCTGATTCTGAATTGTAACCTGTTACTTCCCTAATAAATCCCATCATCGTGAGTATTGTCTACGAGTTCTGCATGGGCATTGCAACAAATTATCAGACTCAGTAGGAAGTAGAAAGCACCATGGGACAGTTGGTGTCAGAACTGGTAGAAAGGGTTGGCTAGTGGAGACATGTCTGACCTCCACCTCACAGCAATCAGCCCTGGGCTACTGTTGAACTTGATCTTCCTCTCCCCTTGTGAAGTTAGAGGAGGTCAGATACTCCCACACCATTTTTATGGTGATCAAGAAATGTTTACTGAATAAATGTTTCTAGTTAATTTGAAAAAAAAATCCATGTAAATGTACAGCTACAATTCTCTTTTTAAATACAGATGTTTGAATAGAGTGGCTTTTAGAAATTAATATTCTTCTTTTGAAAAAGCAAAATATTATATTTTTAGACTGTATCTATAGCTTTCAGTCATTGAGTGCTCACTATATGCCAGGCACTATTCTAAGTGCTTTACATGCATTATTACTTCATTAGTTTTCACAACCTTATGATCTATGTATTATTCCCAATTTACAAAGAAGAGTGAAGAAAATCAAAGGCATTGGAAACAACTGTATGGGTAAATTTCTTAATGTTAAAGTATCATTCCTGGAATAAACTGTACTTGGTTATGGCATGAATTCTTTTTTTTTTTTTTTTTTAACAGATTGCTGGATTTGATAGCATCTTACTTTTCAATTTTGTCTTGGTAGTAAAAGTGGGAGTTTTAGAATTTCTCTTTTTTTGGTACTGTTTATCTCTGGTTTTGGGTTACATTAGTCTTGTGCAATAAAGTGGGAAATTTTCTTCCTTTTCTGGGATTCTTTGTCTCCTTAAAATCCATTTGGTTTGAGTACCCTATCTCCCTTCCTTCTTTCTCCACAGGAGGACCAATTACCTGACCATGAGCCTTTTTCTCCTCTCATACTAGCTTTGAAGGTTCCTCATCAACAGAGCTCCTCTTAATGATGATCCCCAACCAAGCTTCTGTTTCATGCAACTTTTTCACATTTCTTGCACATGCCATGGGCCTTCTCACTTCCAGACCTTTGCTAATTTGATGTCACTTGCCTTGCTAAATCCTAGCCATTTAAGCTTGGGGTAGGAGGTATAGGTGATGATGACTATGGCAGAAAGGGAACTAACATTTGAGGCAGGACTGGGTGGCTGTTTGATATACTTCAGAATACCCTCAATCTTGGGAAGTTTTGTGATTTATATACTGTGGGTAGGAAAAGAAACTTGATGAACATTGTTGTTGTTGTTGTTATGTGCCGTCGAATCCGACCGACTCATAGCGACCCCTTCTTGGGTTTCCCAGGCAGTATCATTACGGAAGTAGATTGCCCCATCTTCCTTGCGAGGAGTGGCTGATGGGTTTGAACCGCCAGCCTTCTAGTTAGCAGTCAAGTGCCTTAGGCACTATGCTACCAAAGCATGAACATTATACACTGAAAAGTAGAGGTGCCAGAATTTAAAGCAAGACTGCTTGATTCTAAAGTGATGGTGCTTCCACCATCCTCCACTGTGTTCCGTCTCCGGCCTCTCACGTTGACCTGGATGTTCTCTGTGCTCCAGAAGCAGTTATAGACTGTACCACCTTTGACATTTAATCACACGCCTGTGTTTTCTGTTGTTTCATCAGTGTGCTTCTTGTCTCACACCAAGCAGTTATTACCTGAATCATCTCTCAGTGCCCGTTTATCTGACTCCAGATTTGGGTGTTGTTCTCTTCTCTCATAATAAAGGATACCGAGAAAAATAAACAGTGAATAAACACAAAGGATCTGGATAGTGTTAATCTTACCCGTACATTGGAAACAAACTAAAAGTTCCTTTCAAAATAAGTTTAAGTCTGCGTAGTCTCCCTGGAGCTTTTTAGCGACCTCCGCAAAATGAAAAAACGACGAGATTTGGCGTTTTTGAGTGTTGATCACCTCCTCACTCCCACCCAAGCTCATCAAATAGCGGCAGGATGATAGAAGGCGCACCTACACCACGGACTTCCTAACAAGGGCAGGTACTTGAGGGAGTCTCTTCCAACTGCAGGCGCAGTCCTTTTCCTTCCCCTCCCAACCTCAGCCCGATGGAACATTCCATGTGAAAGCTTTGACAGAGCAATCACTAAAAGTCACATGGAGCTGGAGCGTACTCCCGGCGCCTTGCGGAATGACGCTCCCTTCGGTTGCCAAGGGGAGGAGCAAGGCGTCGCGGAAGGGGCGGGGCGAAGGAAGCCGACCGGGAAGGCGGGGCAGGCGAAGTGGAGGGGCGGGCGGAGAGGGGCGCGCGGGCGGGGAGGGCCCAGCGTATTATGGGATGCGGCGGTGGAATGGCGCTGGGCGCGTGATTTTGAACAAACCCGGGTCTGTGTCTCCGAGGCGCCGCCGCCGCCGCGGCTGCTGGGAGCCTAGGGAGCGCGCTGCAAGAAGGAGGCGGCGGCGCCGCCGGCTTTGGTGAGTGTCAGCCCCCAGGATGGGGGCTTCTGAGCCAGCAGGCGGGAAGGGAGCGCAGGCTCCAGCTGCGGGGGACAGCGCGGGCGCAGGGCGCCGGACCGCCCCCTTTAGGAGCTCAGGCGGGAGCGGGAACCTGCCGGTTGGGGTCTGCTGCGCCCCATTCCCGGGCCGCAGGGGGCGGAAGGATGCTTGGGGCTCAGCCCCTTCCCGCCGGCACCCAGGAGGGCGACTGTCACCCGACAGGTCGGCGCCGGATCGGCCGACTGCTGTTCGCGGCAGTCTGAAGGAAGGGCTCCGGCGTCTGTTGACACGCAGACAACACAGCCCAAGAAGCAGATGATGTCGGCCCGGGGTTTCTGGGAACCGGTTTTGCTGCTGTGTCATTTTGTACCAGCCCCTGCTTTCCCTGCTGCCCGCCACCCTGTTCTTCCTACTCCCCTTTGTATGGTCCCTTCTTCCTGTATGTCCGTTTTCCTCGCGAAGCTCACCAGCCAAATGTCATAATGTTCCCGAGGTACAGGGGGGAAGGGAGCGGGCTGGGACTTAGCTTGGCCAAGCAACGGTAAACAACCAAGCAGAGTGCGGGTGGACGGGACTGCGGGTGGGGCAGTGAAGTTTAAAGAAACTGGGAAAACTACACTCTCAGCGACTATCAGGCTTCGTATTAGAAACTGCGATTGGGCTGGGCGGTGTACAGCACTTGTTTAAGCTGGAATCTACCGACTTTTAATTGGAGTTGTGCAAGCAAGGTAGGGAAATGAAATGGTTTTTCAAATTCTATCTCACTTTTCTCAGACTATCGTTTTAAAAAGACAGAAGAGTGGCCTTAATTTCAATCTTAAAATTCAATTTGCTCATTTCTGATAGGTCTTGTAGATCTTATATTGTAGTTGTATGGTGTGAAATTTAGCCTTTAAATGGGTGATTATCAAATTCTTCCTAAAGTTAACAAAGTGATCAATTTAGTTTTCTTTTTATGCTAGTTTCATTAGAACTCGGAGCCTATTCTTGTTATTCTTAGATGTCTTTTTTTTTTTTTTTTTTTAAATCTATGTTCTGTTTTAAGTTACTTATGAAACTACATGATGGGAGGAGCTGGTGGGGGTGGGTGGGTAACTTTGGGGTCTTCTTCTAAAGCAAACTGCTTATTTTCTCTGTATTGAACAAATATAACAGTGGCAGATGGTTTCTTTTTTAATTTGATGACTTGGATCCCGAACGACGTTTGACAAAGAATTTTAGCTTAGAGCTATATTTTCTATATTTTTAGAAATTGCTCATTCATGCATATATTTCCGTAATTGGATCGATACATTTTAAAACTAGTTGCACTTTGACGTCTTAAACCAATGAGAAAGAAATTTAACGTCACACACGGTATTCCTGGACAGAAATTACCAGATACAATTAAGGGAGAGGAAAGTAGTTTGGAGTCAGACATATATTGAAATGTTTATTTTATTTTTTTAAGAATTAACTGTTCTGGCTGCAGTGATTACATGAGGATCAGTGCCTGTAATTTACAAACGTATCAGATTGGTCAGCCAGGCATATGGAAATAACTCATCTTGTCAAGGTAGTTTGAAGGTGGAGTAAAATGTCAGAGTTGTTGAATGACATTAAAGGTCTTCATAATGTCATCAGTGTCTGAGATGGACATAGTGAAACGCATTCCATCATCTGTCTCCAGTTGCTTTACTGACAATGAAAAGAGTTTGGATCCTTTACTGTCCTTATGCCACCTTCCGCATGGCGTTTGCTCTTCAAAACAAAAATATGCTGGACTTGGGACCCCGCAGATGGCGCGGCTTCCTTTCGTAGCCCTGCGGGGCCGGCAGAAGCACCATTTTTCGTTCTGGGGTGAAAGGTCTTTGCTTAGCCTGTGTGTGCATTTGTATCTCCCGTGTGCATTTGAAGGTTGGCGGGGCCGGCGGGAGGTTTCCCCGGATATGTGGGTGTGTGCCTCTTGGGAGGGGAGGGTCAGAGAGGAGGAAGGGGGAGGTGACTGGCGGCGGCGGCGGTGGCGGCGGCCCGGGCTCGGGCTGTCGGGGAAGCTGCTGAGCTGTGATGGTGATGACGAGGTGAAAATGGCGGATCTTTCGAAATACAATCCCAGCCCCTGACATACCAGAGACGGCGGCAGCGGCGGTGTCGCCACCCGGCTCCCTTCTCCGTCTCCGGGTACCCTGTAGCGCTCCAGTTTGGGCAAACTGAGAAAGGAAGCGGCTGGCCCGAGCTACCCAGCAAAGCAAAACAAGCAACGCCCGGGCTTGGAATTGCCCGGGACCTTCTGGAGCCCCCACCTTGGAGCTGGAGGGAGGAGAAAGCGGCAGCCGCTGGAGGTAGAGAAGAAGAGGGTACCCGAGGGCCTCTCTGGCTTGAGATCTCTTCATTTGGAGGGGAGGGGGCATTTGCGTTGTGGATCAACTAATGACTTGTCTGTAGTGAAAAGAATCAGTAGCCTCGTAATGACATCAACATTATTATTTGGGTGTTAAGGGGACTCGAATTTGCTCTTATACCTAAGGCTGCTGCTGAGGCCTAGAGGAACCGCTAGCACTTATCATGATTTCCTGATTTAATAGTTAACATATCCACTCTGGTTAGTCAACACCAGATGATGTTAAGCAGTTTACGGAGTTGCATGTTTCTTTAAGGAGGCTGAGCACTGGCGTTTTATTCTGCATTTAAAATCTGCATTTAGGTCTGTAACTTGTTGGGGTGTGGATACTCTTTTTTTAAAAAAAAATTTTTTTTTTTAAAGATATGGACCAGTTTTGTAACAATTAAAAATGTTGTCTGTCTTTTTTTTTTTTTTGGCTCTGCCATGCAAAAAGTGACCCTCTTTGCCCTTGTCATTTGACAAATAACAAGGTACTACGTCATATTTCATTCTATGTTTTTCAGAGAAATTCTTCCCTAGCCCCCATCAGTTTCATGAAGTCAGAGAGTAAAGTTTCGGAAGATCTTGCAGTAGATTTTATAAAACAAGTAAAATACAGCTCTGGGAATTTTGTTAGTACACTAGGGTTACCTTCATTGTTAAGAAGTGTGATTGTCATTAAGGTACCATCCCCTTTGGCTTGATGGAGGCATTTGATGTGAGTACATTAAGTTGGTATAAAGATGAATTGAGATCTTTGTTTTATTCTAAATATAGTACTTGTTAGTCCTTTGTATAGAGATGAGAATTGGATTGACTGACTTTATAACAGCCATAACTTAATTTTGCAGGTTATCTAAAGACCTATTTATGTTTTAGATTGTCCTGCAGGATCCCTAATGAGTCTGCCTTCTTGCATACAACAGTAGTGTCCTTGAATAGTTACATATGAATCATATTTTTGTACATTAATTTGGGGTCCCTTTTTTTTTCTCCTTTTTTGCATTTGTGGTAGAAGGTTGGGTCAATGACTGAGTATATATGAAAGTAGACAGAGGTAAATATATTGAAGACATGCCTACTGGCAGTGTTTATGATTAACAGTGAATAATTTTCCTTATCTAAATTGCCTATGAAGAGATGATGTCATACCTGTATCATACAATATCATACATTTTGTATTCCATTCAGAAGGGAAATATTTTTGTGTATCTATAGTTTGGATATTTGGCCTCTTACTCCCTAGAAGAATAAAGGACAGAAAAAAAAATTAAGGGAAATGCTTGAGAAATCCTGTAGATCTACTTAGTAGAGTTTTAAAAATCATTCAGAAATCAATGTTCTTGTTTTAACTAATAGGAATTTGTTTTTATTTTACAGCATTTATGTTGCAATTATTTGGGCCATGCTAACCCATCTGCTAAATTAGTAGTAAGATTAATAACTTAAAAAATAATTAAAATAAAGAGGGAGATTAAAACACCTTTTCATTGGTTTTCTTTTAATCACAGAAGGTTACTGTCTTTTTGTGATTCTTTGTGATTACCTTTAAAAACCAGTTTTCAGAATTGTGGTTAGAACATTTGTCTATTTATTAATAATTAAGTGTGTTAGAAAAAAATGAAGGAAGATTTATGCCACTCAAGACAGTCCACCATCTTTTTTTTTTTTTTTTGAGAAGTGTTAACAGATTTTCATTACTTCTGTGATGTCCATTTTGTGTCACATACTACGCTAGGCCTGGAGGATAAAATAACCTCAATATTATTGCATCAAGAGAACTTCCAGTAGGACTCATTGGAGGTAAATTTGAATAGTTGGATAGGCCTAATACAGAAGGCCTGGAGAGTTACAGAAAATTTGTGAGTAGTAGAGTGACAGCCCCAGAGATACACTCTGGAGAGAAATCCTGTAGCTGTTATGTAGGATGAATCGTAGGTGAGAAGAGATGGAAGTAAAAATGCTGTCTCTGATGCTGTCACTCTCCTACTCAAAAATCTTCTGTAATTCTCAAGACATTCTGTATTAGTGGCATAATGGTTAAGTGCTTGGCTGCCAACCGTAAGGTTGACTACTTGGTAGAAAAGACCTGGCAATCTGTTTCTGTAAAGGTATCAGCCTAGCAAACCCTGTGGGACAGTTCTACTCTGTCCTGTAAGTTCACAGTGAGTTGAAATTGGCTCAGGGCACACAACAAGACTTCAGACTTTGCAGATTTGGAAGCTGTTGGTTGCCTTTGGGAGGAGACATTGTGAAAGGTATAATCTGCATGATATATGACAGATAATTATTTCTATGGAGAGAGACATGAAAGATGACAAAATTGTAAACCTTGGTGTTTGAAAAAATACTGAATGCCATAAAAAAGAAAAATCAGAAGGAGAAGCTAATTTAATTTAGATAAAGAGGAAATTTACACTTGAGTTACAGTATAACATGTAGCTATCTTCACAGTAACTCTGCAGGTAAACTGAGGCTCAGAGACATTGGTTAGGGTCACATGATAAGCAATTAAGACAGTCAAGATTTGGAAGTAGGTCATTGTGACATGAATCCCGAGGTTTTTTTTCCACCATATTAGTCTTAAGCATGAATAATTATACAGTCCCCCTTTAAAGGCAAAAAAAGAAAAAAATTAAAGGTTCTCATCTAAATGATTTTGGTATTTTGTTAAAATAGATAGATAGATATAGATAGATAGACAAATTCCTTATATAGACTTCTGCTTATTGCTTTTATCCAAGTAAAAACAAATTAAATTCAGGATGATGGATGATGGTGTTTTGCTGAAACGAAATCTTTCTTTGGATAGTGAATTACTATTGTCTGCTTTGGCACAGGTGTGCTATTTGTCTATACTATTTGTCTATACTCTGATGACTCAATTCCTATACCACTTTTCTGTGTGAATGCTGCAAAGCTTTCATCCTTTAATCATAGGGGAGGAGGTTGCAGTAGAGTTACCCCATACTCATGGCAACCCCATGCAATGAAACAAAACAAAATGCTGCGCTGTCCTGCACCATCTCCATCACTGTTTGTGGATCTGAATCACCAGCCCTTTCTTCCTAAGCCATCTTAGTCTAAAAGCTCCTCTGAAACCTGTTCAGCATCATAGCAATAAGAGAACCTCCACTGACAAGACAGATGATGGCCGTGCATTGGCCAGGATCAAACCTGGGTCTTCAGCCTGGGAGGTGGAGAAGTCTTTGAACTACTGCTGGCTACCCTTCCTTTCTCTTCAGCCCATTCTAATTCTGGAGTTTGATTTGACTTTAGATACAAAGTGTTTGATCTACATTCTGATCCAGAATAAACTTTTTTTAAGATTATCACAATGAAAATGCAAACTTTTCAGATCATCCTCAAGAACTCATATGACTTACAGTCTACAGCTCCCACTTTAAGAAATGTAATTTTTTACCTAGTTCTTGAGTTATTGGTGTTTGATTTAGAAATCAAAGCTAAAATGCAAATGGTATAGTTAACCAGTTAGTGCTGGTGGTAAGCTCTAGGTACCAAAAGTACAATTTAAGCATTCAGATTATTTCTGTTTTAATATTTGACAAGTTATGTTTCTATTTGTAATACAGTGATAGATCACCACCTCATGTTATTATGTACAAGAATGAAAATATTTACCCAGGTTGTCCTCCTCCTCCTGTAACTAAGATAATAACCGTGTTTCAGCAATGGTAACATTCCATAAGAAAATCTTAAAAAAACTGTAAAAGCATAGAACATTTGTTATTTTTCTATCTTATTTATATTTAGTTCACTTTTTATTGTCACTGTCCTAAATCAGACCCTTCCATTTAACTCTGTCTTGAACTAATTACTGTTAATAGCCTTCTAACTGATCCCCCTGCTTCTAATCCAATAAAATACCAAGATGAGATTATTTTTCCCAGAGTACCCCTGTTGTCATGTCACTCCCTTATTGATTTCTAAATTCTTTCAGGGTAAGGTCTTGGACTAATTTCCCATAATGCCCTCTACAAAGTTTGAATGCAATACATTTTTTTTTCCCTTGTGCTTTGATTGCTCTTTTTTTTTTTTTTTTTTAAATTGTGGTTTGGGTGAAAGTTTACAGAGCAAATTTACTTTCCATACAGCAGTTCACATATACTTTGTCTCTTGACATTGACCACAGTTTACCACAATGCAGCAGCTCCCCTCCCACTTCCTCCCCATAGTTATCTCTTCCTTGTGTCCATCCCTCCATGCACACCTGCCCCCTGAGCTGTCTCAACAAGAGAACCTCCACTGACAAGACAGATGATGGCATAAGCAGCCCTTCTTTCTCCCATGATTGTTCTCTCCAAGGAGTGTATCTACTTGAGGTAAATGTTCAACTCATATGTCTGTCTTTTGTTTGGCTGGAAACCACATGTGTGGGTTCAATTCCAGACCTGAAGGGCAACTAGGGGCCAAGTCTCAGTGGTTCCACCAGGCTCTATCGGATCAGCAAACCTGGTCTCCCTGCCCCCCTTTCTTTTTTCCTCCAAATGATTTTGAGTTTTGTTCCACATTGTTCTCCTGCTCTATCAAGGATCTCCTACATAGGTCACCTTCCAAGTGGATGACAATGGTAGCCAGGCACCATCTAGTTCTTCTGGTCTCATAGTCGCATAGGCTGCAGATTGGATGGTGTACCAGTCACTAGGAGTAATTGTTTACATGAATTTAGGTGTTCTTCATTCTTTGCTCTGAACGAGGAGAGACCCATCGTTGCATCTAGATGGCAGCTTGCTAGCTTTTAAGATCCCAGTCGCTACTCGCCAAAGTAGGAGATAGAATAATGTTTTGTATAGTATGTTATGCCAATTGAGCTTGATGTCCCCTGCGACTATGGTCCCAAGCCCGCAGGTTCAACTACTTGGTCCCTCTGGGTAGCTGGCTGTGACCAAGCAGTGACCACAACCTTGCCCCTTGTCAGCTCTACTATACACCTGGGAATTCTGATCATTCACATAAACTTATAGGACCATTGTCTGCCAACCCTATATATGATCTTGGATACCCTCCCCATTTCATAGCCATACCAAATCGTTTAGCCTGTCCACCCATCTGTCCATCCAAATACCCATATTTGCCTTCACTGACAATGCAGTACTGTATGTCAAAAGGGTTCATCTTTGTTGTCTGTACCTCCCATGTACCTCTCTATGTCTTTCTCATCCTCAATTGAACGCAATACATTTTTGCTAATTAAATGTTTGATAAAAATCATAAGCTGTTTGAAAGCTAAAAGAACCTTTTAGATTTTGAGAAGGAATGTATTTACAAAGGATTTTAGATGAGAGCTGAATCTGAATATTTAAGAAAATATTTGAAAAAGAGTTTCTCTATTTGTTAGAATGCCTTGTGGTGATATGGGTTATTATTTACTTATTTTGAAGTGTCTCAGAGCATCAGATAAACCCATCCTACTCAAATATAGAAGCAAAAGTTATTTTCAAAGCCCAACATAAATAATTCCAGAGTTTTAGATAACACTCCCTTCTCTGTGATTAGTTTATTTATTCTTCAGATTTGTATGAAGAGATTATCATTTGCCAGCCCTCTTCTAGCCACTGGGAATAGGGGATACAGTGGTGATCAACATAGACAAGTCCATGTCCTCACGGAATTTACACTCAAAAGACGTGAGGGAGGAAGAATTACACTATAAATAATTAAACAAAATATCTCTTATTGTGATAGCTGCTATGATGAATAAATGTGTGCAAGGTGGCAGAATGGCTGGGAAGTAGAAGTGAGGGGTTTCAGTCTCCAGTTCCCATCAGGTTGGTTCTGACTCCTGGCTACCCCATGTGTGTCAGTAGCTGCGCTCCAGTGGGTTCTCAGGGGCTGGTTTTTCAGTAGTAGTTCTGCAGGTGTTTTTTCTGAAAAGGTAAGCTCAAACTTCCAACCTTTTGGTTAGCAGCCAAGCACAGTTAACTGTTTGTATCACCCAGGGATTCTGGAAATGAGGATAAGGGTGCTATTTTAGAGGAGTCTTATAAACTTAATACAGTTGAGACAGATTTATAAATCAGTAGACTTTCTGAAAGGGATGAATCTTTAGCTGTCCTTGGACTTAAACCATTTAACCATGTTCAACTGTAAAGGCAAAAGACTCATTTTATTGGCTTCCAGGAACACACTTTGCCTTTGGAACTTTTATTTTATGAGCTAAAGTATTAAAGGCATAGGGAATGCATTGTATGTTCTGGATTCTTTCCCTACCATTCTTTGATAGATTACCCTTCTTAAAGGTGAGGAGAACTAAATAAAGCTTCTCAGCTACTTGTCCTATGAATAGTGGAAATAAGGGATTCTCTTTTTTCTTGATGTGGCCCTCAACACAGTGATGATGATGTTCATGTGCATATCTTCCATTCCTGAGGAATAAAATTAGGATGATGATTCATGTAGCTAGATGGCCAAACCCTTTCCTGCCATGCCCACAAGCTCCTTTGAGGGTTTTATTTTAGCATAGGCTACCATGCCCTGCACATGGCCCAGATTGAACAGATAGAGATGTTTAACCATAAGACCATCATCTTTAGTTTGTTCTGTGGCTTATGAGGGGTCCTGGCTCCAGAACTCTGCATAATTGGTTTGTCCCTTGCTACATAGGGACCAACCAAACCAATCAGACCTTTTCTTGTTGAAAGTTTGAAATTTGCTCCTAGTTAATAGAGGGATTCTAGTCTTGTAACTCCTTGTTTCCTTTAATCACAGAAATAAAGATATATTCTTTCTAATAACTTCCTAATACATGAACAGAACAAAACTTATGAAAAATAGGTGTAATGGATAAGACATCTGGCTGCTAACCAGAAGGTCAGCGGTTCAAACCCTCCAGCCACTCTGCAGAAGGAAGATGGGGTGATCTACTTCCTTAAAGATTTGTTGTTGTTGTTATGTGCTGTCGAGTTGGACCCCTCCTTGGGTTTCTGAGGTAGTATCACTACGGAAGTAGATTGCCCCATCTTCCTTCTGAGGAGTGGCTGGTGGATTTGAACTGCCAGCCTTCTGATTAGCAGTCAAGTGCTACCAGAGCTCCCTCCTTAAAGATTTACAGCCTTGGAAACCTGAAGGGGGCCGCTATGAGTCAGAATTGACTCAATGGCAGTGAGTTTGGGGGTTTTTTTTTTTGTTTGTTTATTATCACTATTCAAGGACTCCTATAAAGGAGTAAACTTGTATTTCTCCATTTTAAAATACCAGTGGTAACCATTAAAGATGGTATATATAGTTTTGTGATTACAATGTGAACTTTGGTGTCCTAAAAACTTGAGTTTGAATCCTGACCTTACCATTTACATAACTCTATGACCTTGGGAAAATCACTTAACCTTTCGAAGTTTCCCCATCTGTAAAATGGGAATGATAATGGTACCTATGTAATAGAGTTATTGTGAGGATTAAATGAAATAATACCATTGCTGGTAGGTAATAAGCTCTCAGTAGTGATGATTAACTCTTGGATAGTACTAGTATTTGTGTAATGTTAATAATTATAGTTTGCTACTCATGTCTGTTTCTTTTAATCTTGAAATGGGTATTTCATTTTATATTTTAAAATAGGAAAGAAAAGGAGGGAAGGACACGGAAGAGGACATGGGGAGGAAGTGGGAAGGGAACTGTTGCATTGTGGTAAATTGTAGTCAATGTCATGAGACAAAGTGTATGTGAGCTGCTGTATGGAAAGTGAATTTGCGCTGTAAACTTTCACCCAAATCACAATTAAAAAAGAAAAGAAAAAATTTGCTTATTAGATTCTTATGTATCTTTTATGTTCTCTGGGTAAATAACTGTTATTTAGTCAAGTATGAACCTAATGTGCTGTCTTTAATATGTGAAGATAATGGTATTGGTTCTTTTATCAGAAGTTTTGGTGTAGCCTTTGGCTAAAAGTATTGCACTCTGATTTGTCCATAATCTGCTTTATTATTATTACCATATATATATATATATATATATATATTTTAATGTGGACTAGCTGTACACTTTTTAAATGGT